GCCCCAGTGTGTGGGGGATGGGAACTGGGAATCCATGGAATTCCTGGGAAAAGGGGAAATTCCTGGGCAGCCAAAGTTTTATTTCTAAAACAATTTTTATTTATTTTTTTTATTTCGAAATCAGAAAGCCGCAGAGAAGGAAATTCCCGGCGGAAATTCCGCTGCGTTTGTCGGGAACTGCTGCCCCGGGACCCCTCTGAGGGGCGATTTGGGGTTCTGGGAAACCCCAGAACTGCTGGGAATGCTGGGAACGCCTCTGTCCCCAAAGCCTGGCCCACGGCCAGAGCCTGGCAGCAAACCTGGCTTCTATCGGGAATGAAACCTGGCTTTTATCGGGAAATAAACCTGGCTTTTATCGGGAATTAAACCTGGCTTTTGTTGGGAATTCCCAATTGGAACATTCCTGAATTAGGGAAAACCCCAAACAGCAAAGTCCTGGCTTTTGTTGGGAATTAAACCTGGCTTTTATCAGGAATTAATCCTGGCTTTTATCAGGAATTAAACCTGGCTTTTATCGGGAATTAAACCTGGCTTTTGTTGGGAATTCCCAATTGGAACATTCCTGAATTAGGGAAAACCCCAAACAGCAAAGTCCTGGCTTTTGTTGGGAATTAAACCTGGCTTTTATCAGGAATTAATCCTGGCTTTTATCAGGAATTAAACCTGGCTTTTATCGGGAATTAAACCTGGCTTTTATCTGGAATTAAACCTGGCTTTTATCAGGAATTCCCAACTGGATCATTCCCGATTTAGGGAAAACCCCAAGGAGCAAAGTCCTGCTGGAGTGACCTGAGTGAAAATCCGGGAAATCCCAACTGGAACATTCCAGAATTAGGGAAAACCCCAAGGAGCAAAGTCCGGAGTGGAAAATGTCCCCAAGGCTGGCCCCAAGACTGCCCCGAGTGTCCCCAAGGCTGCCCCGAGTGTCCCCAGGGCTGTCCCGGGTGTCCCCAAGGCTGGCCCGGGTGTCCCCAGGGCTGTCCCCGCTGTCCCTAGGGCTGTCCCGGGTGTCCCCAAGGCTGGCCCGGGTGTCCCCAAGGCTGTCCCGGGTGTCCCCAAGGCTGTCCCCGCTGTCCCCAGGGCTGTCCCCGCTGTCCCCAAGGCTGTCCCGGGTGTCCCCAAGGCTGGCCCGGCTG